TTTCCAACAGTGATGAATGCACTCTCCTCCATATGTGTGCAAGCAGAGTGCTGGATGTTTGTGGAGGGGCTGTCGGTCTCCTCGCAGTAATAATTAGCCTTTCTCCGTGTGCGAGCACGGGAATAAAACTGGGGGGCTTTATTATAAGAACCTTATGATGGAGGTTATTAGCGCCGAGGTCTTGGCATGCCGATTGGCAGAGACACGGCGGCACATGCTGAATTCTGCCGATGACCTAAGGGACGGGGCTTTTGTGACTTACCGGGCATTTTGCCCGGCTCTTTGTTATGGCCATGTGTTGCCCTGAGAGCATGCTGCTCTTTCGAAAAGCCCCGGGTTCAAAGCCTCCCAGCCCGATTGGGGACTGGGGATTGGGCCAGTGCCAGGGAATAAAGAACTCCCAAACATCTAGCACAAAGACCCCTCTGACTCCATCCCTCCCTTCTACTGTCCCTCTCTTGCTCTTGTTTTATATACTGCTCGCTCTCTCGCTTGGCCAGTCGGTCTGCGTTGTTTTAATCCCCAGGTCGGTCACTGCCGAGCTCCACGCTGCCTCTTTCTGTGTTGTCTCCCTCACTCCGCTTTATCTATTCATAACAAAAGCTTCCCGGATATCCAGCTATACCTTCCAGCCCTCTTAGCTGATCCCAGCTGGACAGTTCCCTTCACATCTGCAGACACCCTCCCCGAGTCCTCTTCTCTCGCTTTCAAATCTCTTCAGGATCCTTCTTTTCATTGTCTTTCCGAGTTCCAGCTCTCCCTCTCAGTCTCTCCAGCTCTGCTGACATCAGATGAAACCCTCCACAGACTGTGGATAAAGATAAGCCCTGTGAGATAGACTGTGTGCGTGAGAGAGAGTAAATCCTCCACCTCCAGCCCCCCACACCCTCTCTCCAACACCGGCTCAAACCCCTGGCACGTTCCTTCTGCTCAGGCTAGCAAAGCCGCTAAGCCAGCCTCTCCCTCTATCCGCCTCCCCATGCGCAGCATTAGCTAACCTGCTTTGTGGCTATTTGCTAATTAAAAACATTTACGGTGCTAGCCTGCGCGGGCCAAAACGGGCACGCTGCCATTCTCCACTGACCCGCCCACCCCGCCGATTCCCGTCTATGCACTCGCGATGGATCAGCCCAACAGGTGCTACGTTTGGTTTGCAGCTCACTCAGAAGTGAAGAATCAGGTGATTCTGCTTCATTTCTCCAGCTCCTCCAGGCTCACAGTCAGCAGCTGCAGTGTTAGAGAGACGTGAGCGCACACACTCACACAAATGCAGTGTTTAATGCAAAGTGAAGAAAATGTGGCATCGGCCAATAGGAGAGCATCTGTGAGTGGCGGCTTTGAAAGGGACCAATAGGACAAAAGGCCTGTATCGACTAAAAACGCAGGTGCACCATGATTAGCGGGCAGCAGCTGGTGAGGTCGCAAACGGACACGGGCACACAAACGCATGCTGGGCGCGCACACACACACACACACACACACACACACACACACACACACAGAGTAAATGTTCTGCAGTCCTTTCAGAGCTCTCTCTGTCCTCCCAAGCTAACAACGAGCATTAGGAGCACATGCGGTACGGCGTTGCTCCGTCTCTCCGGCCTTTGATGAATAAAAAAGCAGAGAGAAGAATACACTGTGCCCAATCTGGTATGAGTTTGAAATGACTGCTCTTTGAAAAGTGAGGGAGGAAGGGGAAGAGAGTGAGACGTAAAAGGGAACATAAACCTTGAGAGGAGCTTCACAGGGGAAAAGCTGATAAAAGATGAGTTTTTTAGAGAAATAAATTTCCCATGTATATGGGTTAATGTTCACACATTCTGCATTTGCATCAGCGCGACACTGAAGGTGCGAGAGAGGGCGATGATGTGCGGCTCTTTGGAAGCCTCCATCAATTCCTTTCTACACAAATCCAGCACCGTCACGGGCAGCACCACCCCCTCCTTTGCCGGCTTTGCTCCTCTCGCTGTTATCCTCCCTCGAGGCATGCCATCATCAGCTCCAGTCCCGGAAGTCTTGCAACAAAGTCTGTCCCATCGTAATCCAATTTGCGACAGAGTGATGGGCAGCAGATAACTGCAAGAGGCACGCAATTTGGTTTGGTGATGTCATTCACATCCCCCACTGAGTCAGAGCGACCGGGCGGCATGCCTAAAAGGAGAGGCTTTCCCTCATCATCAGTGAGTGAAATGTAAGGCTTCATCAAGGAGTCTTTGCTTCATTAAAGGTCTCCCTTCAGCAAATGAAGCTCCAAGGAAACTGCATAAAATCCAGAAATGGACTACGTGGCTGATTGAGCTGTTCAATTAAAACCCAACATCCCAACATCCACACGTCGTCAGGCCGTTCATTTGCACAGAATCTCCTCTAAGCCCTGGTTTTCATGGAGGCTGAGAGTCCATCAGTGTGGGATTGATAGCTGAGAAAGTAGATGAAATTCAAGCTAGTCATCTACAGCTAGCCTCGGGGACTCTGGGGAAACTGCTGCACGCTTCTGAGCAGAGGTGTTTAATGGTTGATTAGCAGTCTTTGGGAGTCGCCCTGTGCACCAAAGGCACTGTCCTCTCCGTTTTATCCCTCGCTGAGAAATCAATTAGCACGATTACAAGGCCTTAGTCCCATTAAACATTAATCACAGGGCGTCACGGTCTGAGTTAGCAGCTAGCTTTAATCGACGACTGACACGACGGTCTCGGCTTTACAGCGCACGATCTCATCAGACGGCATTTCAGCGATGATGCAGAAAATCAGACGTGTAACTCTCAGAGGATGGAGCGCCGAGCAGACTGCTGTCATCTCCACTTCACTCCAACATATCACAGACTGATATTTGATGCCAGTCAGCGTCTCTGTAGATGAGTGAGATATCCTCTTAGGTGATCGTTTTATTAAGGTGTGACGGTGGAGCTTGGATCAGGGAATGAGGAAAACTCTGAAATGTGTCAGTGATTATCCAAAACAACAGATTCAAATGAAAGTCAAAGGAGGTAGAAGACGGACGAATTCTGCTTCCACCTTTTTATTTGGACAATATCCAGAGTATGCAATGATGCCGTGATCCAGTCGTCTGAATCTTGGTCGCTGACCTGAAAACTGATCTGAAAATCTCATCTGTGCCAGCAGCAGTAGAGTTTAAAGGTCAGTGACTGATGGGGATGAGTCGGTTTACTCCAGCAGCATCGGCTGTATGAAACAGAGGCGCGCAGCCTGAACAGTGGAGCCAATGCGATGGTTTCACCCTGTCAGCAGAGGGCAGGTTTTCTGGGTGTGGAGGCACAAAAATGATCTCTTACTTCATTCATGACCTCATTAAACACTTTTCTGATCTCTGCTCTCTGTTGTGAATCTGATGTTTTTTTTAACATTTAGAATGAAATAGACCTTCAAATGGAGCGAGACTTTGGAGGGTAACCTCAATGCTCCAGTTTCCAGTAGGAAAAACCAACTGGTGATGTCCATCTTCCATGTACACTGGGCCTGATCAACCTGAAGGATAGATCTGCTTTTTAGACTTGTTTACATCCAGTTTCTATTTTTATTGGGACAAAATTCCAGTAAAGTGGAGGACAAGGATGAGACCAGCTTTGAGACTGAAAGAGAGGTTTTGTGCTGGCACTTTCACACAGAGTCCGCTGTAGGACGTAAAGGACATAAAGACACCGTTTCTATCCTTGACAGCATGTTGAGTCTCATCCCTAGTTCTGTGTGTTGTATGTCACGGTACCTTAGACTGCTTTTAACTGCCGGTGTTACGCTTCTGTATGAACAGTTGTAAATCTGAAACCTGATTCAATCAGTTAAATTAATTCCACAATTTGAAGCTAATCTCAAATTTACTCGGTCCTGATGATGGAGGCTTCCTGCTTCGGGCGGCCCTGTCAATGGGACTGTCCTGACTCTGTCTCCTTTTTGGCTTGTGTCCCTGTCAGCTGTGGGATCATAAGAAGCTTGGCTGTTCTGGTTTCCCCGCTGCAGCTCACAGTTAGCAGCCCGTCCTGCGGCCCTGGTAATTAGGGCTAAGAGGTTTATCTGAAGTCAGAGCTCTCAGGTCCTGGACAGATAGAGCTGACCAGGACTCGAGACTCTCCAGAGACCGTCGGTGGCTGTTTCTCATCCTTGGACCTCCTGCACCTCCCCAGCCCACTGTTTTAATAAGTGCCTCTTGTTTTGACTGAGGGTCTCTCAGTATCATCTAAGAGGAACAGGAGATCATTTTCTTTTTTTCTTTTTTCGTCTTGGTCTCGTTTGGCGTTCAGCTCTGCAAATACATCTCACACAAACCCAAGCTTGAGGAGCTGGGCGCTGTCAGCGTGTTGGGCTAATTTTACCCCTACCACCAGGCCAGGAGGGGCGAGGTGGGAGGGCGAGGTGGGAGGGCACATTAAGGATGTTATTTTAAGCAGCTGAGTCAGCGCATAGGATGGGAAGCAACCTGAGAGTTTATCAGAGGTGTGCGTTTGTCTGTATGTGGCCACTACACTGCTATTAAAGACATGTATTGGTATATATTAATAGATGTCTGTGGAGTGATACTGTACTATGGAGTGCAAGGAATGCAGCCAGCACACACCCCAACACACACACACACTTGTTTTCATATCTTAGTGAGGGCATCTCATTGACATAATGCTTTCCCGAACCCCCTAACCATAACCATAATGCCTCCTTGCTCTCTGACACCGTGCAGCATTGTACACCTGTGCAGATGCAGGAGCGACCCATTACTGTCTTTAATTCCTTTAAACACACTTCCCGACACTCTGCCTCAGCACCGAGTAATCACCCCTACCTTGCTACCAGCTCATGCTAGTGAAATGAAATTGCTCTTTTATTATCGTTATCATGTTGTCAGACCAGCTGCAGATTCAGCCCTTCTCTTAGTGCTGTTCAGACTTGGTGAGCTGCAAACTTCATTCCCGCAGGCTTTAGGAAAATTGCTAATCAGAGCAAAACTCAGCAGTGCTGATTTAAACCGCTGTCCTCTCCTCCTCCTCTTCCAGACAGCGAGATTGTTCCTGCAGACTGCCTGCGTCCACGCTCCTTCACCACGGTGCGCTCCTCCTCTCTGCGGCGTGAAGCGGACGACTCGCGCCTGTCCGTCAGCCTGTGCGACCTCAACCTGCAGCAGGAGGACGGTGGCCCAGCCCACAGCCGCTCCCACCGCCACACCCTCCACCTGGCCTCCACCTCCTCCTCCTCCAGCTGCCCCATCCCGCAGAACTCCCTCAATTCCCAGCAGTCCTCCCTCCTACCGTCCACCCTGGAGAGCGACCTCCACTTCCACCAGCTGCGCGGCGCCCACATTAAGACGCTGGACGAGCAGACGGTGGCGCGATCCGAGCACGCGCGTGAAGAGCGCACGCTGGTCTTCACGAACCGGCCACTGCGCATCGGCGAGACAGTGTTCATCAAAGTCACCAAGTCGAGCCCGGCGCGCTCGGGCTCTCTGTCTTACGGTGTGACGTCCTGCGACCCGGCGGTGCTGCGCCCCAGCGACTTACCCTACAATCCCGAGGCCCTGGTGGACAGGAAGGAGTTCTGGGCGGTGTGCCGTGTGCCGACGCCTCTACAGAGCAGTGACATCCTGGGCTTCTTGGTCAACCAGGAGGGGGAGGTCATCCTCAGCCACAACGGCGCCAACGTGGGCATGCAGGTGTGCGTGGACAACTCCCGCCCGCTGTGGATGTTCTTCGGCTTGCATGGTGCAGTGACACAGCTGAGGATTCTGGGTAGGTTACCATAATAACAAAGGTTAAACTACTTTTAGGCCCCTGGCATTTTGTGTGATTGTAGGTCTTTATCTTATAATGTAAAGCAAATGAAAGTTACACATCAGAGGAACAAACTGCTCCATTATAACAGATATTATTGGACTTCTCCAAAGGACTGAACAGCTCTAAGACGGTGATGCTGAACTGTGAGCCTTTAGTTGCCACCCGGCTTGTGACCAGTTTCACTAAAAGAGGCAGAGGCCCAGGTTTGAGCGCCTCGGGCTGTTTTCCGAGTGTTGTTCCCCAGATGTTGTCTCCACCCTCTCCTGATCAAAGTAAAGCTGAATTATTTATCACGCAGGTTTGCTGTCAGTCCTTGTCCTGGTTTCATTGAACATAGCATTTGTTCAGGTGAGAAATCAAGCTCAGCCACGGTCCCACATCAGCTGATGGCTCAGCTGATTATCCTTCTACACATCCAGTTAGCGAGACTTCAGCTGCCTACATTTGCAGCACATCTGTGAGGTGCTTTGTACTGAAGCCCACCTCACGTGTTCCCTCACGTTTGTAGCTGCTGCTGCTTCCCCACCTTTGGGTTGCCACCCAGCGAATGAACATCAAGACAAATAACATTCTCAGAAAGTATTTAAGAGGGTCCAGAACTCTTAGAAAGGCTCCTCAGTTCAGGTCTTGCATAAGGACTGCTTCACAACACTGGTCCCTGCATCTGAAAAAGGTGACCAAGCGTCTGTTTGCTGGTCCTTTTGTTTTTTTCAGACCCTCTGACGTGTGAACATACGTGTTTGCTGTGACAGGAAACAGAGTCCGTAAGAAACTACGTCACAGAGCACTAACAGGTAATCTCACTGATCACCTGTCCCAAAAAAACTTTAAACTCTGGCCTGCGTTCAGAACCACAGTAGCACAACATCGGTGAAAGGTGTGCTGCCAGCAGAGCAGTCGAACACTGAACACGAATCAACCTTCGATGTAGGAATCAGTCAAATATATGGAAGCTCCTGTCTGCGTTTCCTCTGCCAAATGAGAGGTTCGGCTGATTGTTGGTACTTTAACTGTGGATTTTCTGCTCTGGATTTCATTTTCTTACTGGCGCTCGTAGCAGAACGCTTTAAAACGAAGCTAATATATTGTGAACGCAGCATCAAGAGCTTTGATACGAAACTCAGATATTTAGGACGTGTACACTCCTAATGATCTCACCATGTTCTCTTTGGAGTTTCTTTGAGTTTTTATTATTTAACAGGGGACAGTGTTGTTAATGAGGAGATGAGAACGGGCCAGATTTTAGCAACACAACAAACGTGCAACACAACAAAAGAAAAAGTTACAATGCTCCAAGATTTATTCCTCCATTATACGTCAGGATGTCCAAATGTGGCGAGGCACCCCACGGTCCCCCCCTAGTGGTGGCCCTGGTGCCAATCGGTCAGTTTTTATTTTTTAATTTATTATTTTAAGACATATCTGCAAGTGTCACTAGTGCTCCGCCTCCTGTATGTGGAGCAACGAGCACCTTTTGTCTTTGACTGCACGCTCTATTCTCCGTGGAAGAGTAATTGATGGTGAGAATAGCCATCCATTTAGCTCAGCGATGTGTCCGGAGGTCAAGAACTTACAGATCAGTGTATTGATCTTAATTTGTCTCGGCTCCCCACTTCCTCCCTGGGGTCCAAATCTATTTGTGTTAAGTGTTGAACGCTCTGACAGTGAGGCGGCTGAGGAAAACAACTTCTCAGTCACGGTCATGACTCTTTATTCACCAGAGGGTCAAGAGTTAGCGAGAGCGCTCTATTACTCTTGTTTGTCACAATATTTATAGCAGACGTCCCATAAAGCAGGAAGACTCTAAACACAGTCATAGGATTAGCGAGAGGAGTAGACTCTCAGAGGAGACGAAAAACAGGAAGAGAGCGAGCAAAGGTGGAAAAGTGGCCACGAGAGGCTTCGGTGTGACCGAGACGACGTGAGGTCTCAGCAGGCCAGGGCACCGGAGGTTTGTTTATGGGTTGATAATGACAGGAAAGTGTGTGCACTTCACTTTGCCCTGCCAAACATATACTGCCTGTCCTACAGGTGCGTGTGCGTGTGAACGCCGTCTGCTATTAATGCAGCGGTTAAGAGGCGTGGCAGCCCAAACAGCTACGACCTTTCAGAGGTGTCACGAGTGTTTGTGTGGAGGAAGAGCATCTATAAATACCTGCTGCTTTTCTTCACCAGCAGCGGAAGAGGAAGCCGAGGTTAAAAGAAGTTAGAGGGGAATAACCTGCACTTTAACCAGCTCATCATCAAAAGCCTCTTTGAAATCTCAGTTCTGCATGTTCGCTAATGTGGCCCTCTGTTAGCCTGACCCAGAGTAACGGTGACAGCTACGTCGATACGAATCACAGCGAGCTTCAGTGAAGCTCTGTGTAGAAAGCCCCTTTCCTTCCAGCTGATTGGCTGTTAGGCTCTTGTTTTTCATTTCAAACACATCTAAATGTCTCCTTTGTATCGGCTCTTATTACACCAGGAGGTCACAGATTTTACTGTTAAATTACATTTTGACTACGACTATCTGCACCGCAGGCCATCTGGTTGGTCTGTGTGGACTTCCAATAATCGTTTACTGAAAACGGAAAGCCTTGGCAGCGCATCAAAACAGGAAGCTCAGAACAATGAAAGCGGTCCAAGGCGCGTTTTCTTATCGAGGCCCATCTCGGAAGTCCCGCCGAGGTGCGAATCATCTTTACTTTCCAGCTGCTTTGAATTAGGAAATGCCTCTTATCTCAAAGTTGTAACGGCCTGATTTATTGCTCTGTGTTTACTGGAGAGCAATTTAGCTCTCAGTTGAAGCTGAATTCAAACCACGCCTGCTAGAGGGAGAGACGTGTCCCAGCGGGCTCCTCGTCTTCGGGACGGCGGGATCAAACAGTCGTCGCTTCAAACAAAGCGTGAAGTAAAGGACCTTTTGTGAAAGCGACAGCTGTAGTCAAACAGGCACACGAGTATATGTGAGGTGAGCTGAGAGAGCTCAGACGGGGTAATGACACCGAGGATGAAATCTATACTGAATCAGTTCTGTTAGCCTTAACGACAGGAGGCTTTTAGAAGTTTCTCATTACAGTTTGAAGAACGCCGTGTTTAACTGTATATGTGCATCAGTGTGTGTCTCTCTCTGTCAGAAGATTTCCATATCAGTCTTGATATTTAAAGGTGCTCTGTGGAATTTCCTCAGAAATGAGGCTGTCTACATTCAGCGCTGTTCACAGAAGCCCACAGTGGACATTCTCATCGTCTTGAATGCACACTTCCTCACGGTTCCTCGTGCGTTGAGCAGAGGTTGAATCATGCTCGAGGATTTTAAATCATGCACGTGTGCTAGCTAGTAGTTTAGGTGTGCTAGTAGTTTAGCTAGCACATCTGGGGCGATCGTGGCTCAAGAGTTGGGAGTTCGCCTTGTAATCGGAAGGTTGCCGGTTCGAGCCCCAGCTTGGACAGTGTTGGTCGTTGTGTCCTTGGGCAAGACACTTCACCCGTTGCCTACTGGTGGTGGTCAGAGGGCCCGGTGGCGCCAGTGTCCGGAAGCCTCGCCTCTGTCAGTGCGCCCCAGGGTGGCTGTGGCTACAATGTAGCTGCCATCACCAGTGTGTATATGCGTGTCTGAATGGGTGGATGACTGGATGTGTAAAGCGCTTTGGGGTCCTTAGGGGCTAAGTAAAGCGCTATACAAATACAGACCATTTATCATTTACGTTTCCTGACATGGCTAAATCTATGTCAGAAATCTTTATTCTATCAAAGGTATATTTGTGCAAATGTGCATGAATCAGTGAGCCACTTAATGACAACCTCTGCTCATGCGTTGACCAGAGGCTGAGTCATCCGCAAGGATTTTAAATCATGCACATTTGCTAGCTAGCAGTTTAGCTAGCACACGTTTCGTGACATGGCTAAATCTATGTCAGAATTCTGCCAAAGGTAAATGTGTGCAAATGTGCATGAATCAGTGAGCCACTTGATGAAACATTTGCTTATAGTCCTGCTAGCGGTCTTTAATAATGTGCCTTGCTATTTTGAGAACCAAAGTGTCAAGTCTGGGCACATGCAGTGCGTTATAGGTGTCTAAATGGTGTACGGTAGCAAATATTTTTTTTTTACTATTGAAATTTATGCACTACACAAGTATGCTAGTGTCGACATGCTAGTGCCAGCACTGAGACACAATCTTGGAATGCTGAATTAAAACAAAGTTAAGTCGATTTTGTCAGGCTCACAGGCTCAAATTCAATTCAATTTTATTTATATGGCGCCAATTCACAGCAACAGTCACCTCTAGGTTTTTTATATTGAAAGGTAAAGACCATATAGAAAGACAGAGAAAACCCCACAATCAGAGCAAGCAGTTGGTGACAGCGGGACAAAAAAACTCCCTTTTAACAGGAAGAAACCTTGGGCAGAACCAGGCTCAGGGTTGGGCTGATGGGAGGAAATGAGTCTCGTGTTCCACCTACACTAATGTGTGCACACACAAACATGATTGTTGTGTTAGAACAATTTACACATTAGTGTTTCCAGATTGTTCCAGAATCTTCATCCTGTTTTGACTGAACACGAACATCTGACCGAATTATTATTTCACGGTTGAAGTGTCGTCTCATGAAATAAACACGAGTTCTGTTTAATGACCACAGCTGTGATGTAATTAGATATGAACGCTTATGTGCGGAGTCATGGAAAAACATATTACCCGCAGTCAGGCGCTGTTTCGGTTCCAGCTAATTGACGAGAAAATGGTTATCACAAATTCATCTTAATCAGTCTCAACATTATTTTGATCCATGCTAGCGTTTAACATTGTTGACCTCAGAGAACTTTACCTGCACGCAGAACCTGACGCTACCTGGTTTCCTCATGTTTTGCAAAAACTACTTGGAGGATTTAGCCGTGCAGCTGATTTTGAAAACCCCGTGTTTGTCATTTTCCGGTGAGAAAAATGTGGTTTTGCTCTGAATCGAGGG